CCCAATGTCCACCCCAATGTCCACCCATTGTCCATCCCAATGTCCACCCATTGTCCATCCCAATGTCCACCCCAATGTCCACTCAATGTCCATCCCAATGTCCACCCCAATGTCCACTCAGTGTCCACTCATTGTCCACTCAATGTCCATCCCAATGTCCACCCAATGTCCATCCCAATGTCCATCCCAATGTCCACCCAATGTCCACCCCAATGTCCACCCAATGTCCACCCCAATGTCCACCCCAATGTCCACCCCATGTCCATCCCCATTGTCCACCCCAATGTCCACCCAATGTCCACTCATTGTCCACTCAATGTCCACTCAATATCCACCCCAATGTTGATTCCATTGTCCACCCATTGTCCATCCCACCACCCAGTGTCCATCCCAGTGTCCATCCCAATGTCCACCCAATGTCCATCCCAATGTCCATCCCAATGTCCACCCAATGTCCATCCCAATGTCCATCCCAATGTCCACCCCATGTCCATCTGTCCATCCCAATGTCCACCCCAATGTCCACTCATTGTCCACCCCAATGTCCGAGCATCTGATGACCACCCAAACCATTGTCCACTCCATGTCCACCCCAATGTCCACCCAATGTCCACCCCAATGTCCACTCAATGTCCACCCCAATGTCCATCCAATGTCCACCCCAATGTCCACTCAATGTCCACCCCAATGTCCATCCAATGTCCACTCGATGTCCACTCAATGTCCACCCATTGTCCACCCCAATGTCCATTCAATGTCCACCCCATTGTCCACTCATTGTCCACCCAACATCTGATGTCCACCCATGACCTGATGACCACCCACACCATTGTCCACCCACTGTCCACTCAATGTCCATCCCAATGTCCATCCCAATGTCCACTCATTGTCCACCCAATGTCCACCCCAATGTCCACTCAATGTCCACCCCAATGTCCATCCACTGTCCATCCCAATGTCCACCCACCATCTAATGACCACCCAAACCATTGTCCACCACTGTCCACTCATTGTCCACTCAATGTCCACGCAATATCCACCCCAATGTTGATTCCACTGTCCACCCATTGTCCATCCCACCACCCAGTGTCCATCCCAGTGTCCATCCCAATGTCCACCCCAATGTCCATCCAATGTCCACCCCACTGTCCACCCACTGTCCACCACTGTCCACCCAATGTCCACCCAATGTCCATCCCAATGTCCACTCCAATGTCCACTCCAATGTCCACCCATTGTCCATCCCAATGTCCATCCCAATGTCCATCTGTCCATCCCAATGTCCACTCCAATGTCCACCCATTGTCCATCCCAATGTCCACCCCAATGTCCACTCATTATCCACTCAATGTCCACCCAATTGTCCATCCCACTGTCCACCCCACTGTCCACCCAATGTCCACTGCATTGTCCACCCATTGTCCACTCAATGTCCACCCCAATGTCCACTCAATGTCCATTCCTTTGCCTACCCCAAGGTCCACCCCAATGTCCACCCCACTGTCCACCCAATGTCCACCCACTGTCCACTCACTGTCCATCACTGTCCACCCAATGTCCACTCAATGTCCACCCATGACCTGATGACCATTAAAACCATTGTCCACCCATTGTCCACCCAATGTCCACCCCATTGTCCACCCCAATGACCACCCATGACCTGATGTCCACTAAAACCACCGTCCACCCATCTTCCACCCATTGTCCACCCACTGTCCACTCAATGTCCACCCATTGTACATCCCATTGTCCACCCAATGTCCACCCCCATGTCCACTCAGTGTCCACTCAATGTCCACTCAGTATCTACCCATTGTCCACCTCAATGTCCACCCAACATCTGATGACCACCCATGACCTGATGACCGCCCATTGTCCATCCCAGTGTCCATCCCAATGTCCACCCAATGTCCACCCACTGTCCACCCAGTGTCCATCCCACTGTCCACCCACTGTCCACTCAATGTCCACTCACTCTGCTGCAGCCACTCCCAGTGCTTCTCCCACCTCTCGTCCATCTCCTTCTTTTTGGCCACCAGTTTGTCCATCGTGGCCTTGACCTGCCGGACGGTCAGCAG